AGCCTCCAGCTTCATGGTCAGTGGCAGTGGACATTTATCAATCAGGTCCAGCCTGCATGTGAACTCTGACAGGATGATGTCGACTTGCTCTTATATATATACATACACACACATGCATACATATATATATACGCACATACATACATATATATACACACACATACATGTATATAATCTGTATTTAAGCTCAGAGTGATCTCAAAGTAAAAAGAGGTGCTAAAGTCTGATTTTGTGGTGGCTGTGCTTTAAAATTAATTTATCATCATAATCTTAATTCAAGTGAAGAAGGATTTTGAAAGTGTGACAGTAATCAGTGTTGAGTAATACTGTAAGGTTAAACATGTCTGCTTTAAATGTTTCAAAATGATTAACAGTTGAAAACTTTCGTTAGAAATTTAAAAGTAATCTAATAAAGTAATTGAGATAATTACACTTTTAAACAGGGTAACTTGTCATTTGTAACCGATTACATTTCCAAAGTAACCGTAACCAACCAGTTTTGGTTTTCATTGACTTCCATTATATAAAGAAGAAAAAAACAGATCTTGATACATTTTTTTTTTTTTTTTTTTTTTTAAATATGTTGATATTTTCCAAAATATCTTGAAGGACATGAGGGTAAGTACATTGTAGGATTAACATTTTTGTTTAAACTACCCCTTTAAAGGCATAATTTACCCAAAATATGACAATTTTATCATCATTTACTCACCCAAACGCCATTCCAAAGCTCCTCTGTTGAACACACAAAAAGTTTTTTTTGTTGTCGTTTTTGAAGAATGTGGGCAATAGCCATTGACATACATAGTAGAGAATAAATACAATGTAAATCAATGGCTACCAGCAACTGTTTGGATACCCAACATTATTCAAAAATATCTTTTGTGTTTAGCAGAAGAAAGAAGTTCATACAGGTTTGGAACAAATTGAGAGTGAGTAAATGATGACAGAATTTCCATTTTTGCATGAACTATCACTAACCCTTCTTTATCCAAAAACGAAAAACCTGTCATCAATACTTATCCTCAGTGTGAGTCATGCTCTTCCAAACTTTCATTCCTTTCTTTCTTCCTGCCTAATTGTCTGAAATGCAACACAACTGAATTGAAAGCCAGAACATAACATAAAAAAAAGAAAAGATTTTTAGTGAATGACTAATTTGTCGATTCCTCACAAAAAACTCTTATGACTTCACAGGACTCTGTGACTGTGTTGTCTGCTGTAGTCACCACCCTCTGCCCTAGCATTAGCCTGGGGAATTGTAGCAAAACTCCTTGTGTTCTACACAAAAAAAATCTGTAGTGTTTACTGCAAAACAAATCCTATCTAGTGAAGCCCTTTTTTGTGTAAAATGTAGCTTTTTCACAACAAAGGATTTCAAAAACATTCTGTCCTTAATATGTATATTCCTTGAGCAGTAGTTTGCTGTACACTGTAAATGCAGCTAAAAATACCCACTGAAAGACAAAGGATCACACATTTAAAAGTGGAGCAGCACATCACTTATTTTACTTTAACAGTAGAGACTACAGAGTTGTACCACTAGCTTAGCTGTGCAAGCAACACACAGATGATGTTCAGAATCAAATATAGCATACTGCTTGTAGTATATACACTGCTTATATTGTATACAGTGCATATGAGTAATATGGTACATTGCTGTCACATGACCTCAGTGTTTCATACTTAATTAGAAAAAGTAAAAACCAAAAACTCTGATCAAAGATATATTAAAAGTCATGATGATTACTTTGCGGATGCCTTGCTGTAATTACATTCATATGCAATTCTGAACAAAGCCACATCCTCAGCCAAAAGAAGACACGGGGACCACTGGATTAAAAAACATACAACCAAAAGTGTTTATTAGTTTTGTCCTGTCTGGAACCCAGGAGCACATCTCTCAGTTCAAAGGTCATAGCGCTACCCTGGGTCATGGGTCCCAGCCGGCGTGGGGTCAGACAGGGAGGTTATAAGGTGGGTGGGAGCAAGTGACGCAGGATGGCACAGAGTGAGATGTGCACGCACACACACACACAAATTCATTTCTTAAACAACTCATTACAAATCTGTATCATTCCGTTGTAATACACCACCACATAAAACAAGTGATGCAGTGAAGTTCGAACAGCTAAAGAAAGCGGCAGAGAAGATGAGAAGTCCATCTGTCAATATCATGTGTATGTGTATGATATCATATGCACTGTACATATAAAGACAGTGAAACCGAATAATACAAAGTATGTTGTAGATGTAGAGAATCTCATTGAAAAGACTGAACATAACACATTAACTGTAAAGGAAAAAAAGACAAACCAGCAACAACAAAAATAACATTTATCATTACTGTAGTTAAGGGGAAAAAAATGCATCATGGACAATTTCATTCATCACCGCTATTTCATTATTGTTCACAAAGAGAGAGAGAGAGATGTAGTGTGAAATAATAAACAACTGGAACAAAAACAATCCAAAAAGGTCCAAAAATGCATTAAATAACAGAGGCAGCTTAATCACATTTCCCACCGTTCTTCTGTCTCCATTTATTAACCATACACAGTTTCTTGCTCTTACTATTCCATAACGTCAACCCTCATCCGAATGTTTTAGAGAAATAAACCTAGAAAATGCCACAGAACCAACAGTATCATAATATACTTTGGTCCAAGTCTCTGACAAGATGCATAACTCATTTCAGTAAAATGTCTGGCTTGATGTTCCCCTACGTTTATTAAGAAAAATTCCCATTTCAACAACTTTCTCCTTTAAATCTTGGTGCCAAGTTCATGTGGTTGGTCAAGACCTTCTGAAACTTCTCTGCCTGTGCTTTCACAACAGCTCAAAAATGACGATCCAGCCTTACGGGACTTTCACAGCTTGAACCAAAATAACATTCACGTTCATTTATCATATAAACACTTTGTCGATAGTGTTTTTCGAGTGTCTCATTTTGCTGATTGACTCCCATAGCGTTTTTTCCCCCTCATCTTTTATGTGGCAGAGCTTCAGATAGCTTTTTTACAACCCAAAGTGCTAACACCTGATATTAAAGGCTCAGAAGAATACAAACGCATGTAAACAAAAACTACCCCAGATCAGCTAACCTGTCACAACCAGCATTTCTCAAATGTCTCAATATGGACACCCCATTTCCTATAAAATCCTCCCTTTTAGATTAAAGACACCTTACCAAAATATTGTTTTAAGAAGACAAGCAATGCAAGATGGCCAGTTTCCCATCCTCTACCTCAGCATCCAATCATCTCCACTCAAATCCCACACAAAAACACCACAAAGCAAATGGCGATAACTTGTTACTGAAGTCATGCCGAGTATATACCAGTTGCCAACTCCTCCATTACCGTTTATTCATGTAAATTTAATTTATTATTGTCGGTCAAACAAAAACGCCACAGCACCTCGACACTCTGGAAGAAGTTTCTTGCAATCATCATCCAAGCAAAGTTGGATTCATGTCCTTTATTACCCAAGATCTTCCCATTTGAAAAACGACTGACATTCCACACGACTGGAAACAATAGAGCTGAGCCTGGAAAAATACAGAAGAACAGGGGGATCTAGTGAAATCGAAAGATAAAGACGGACCAATCTAATCGAACCTCTGGCGGAATAAGGCCTCCTGCTCCGTTATGCCTCAGAACTAACATCTCTTGTTCCCAATAGAAACTGATAAAGCTGTTCTCTAAATGAGCAAACAAGAACCTTTATGGCTCAATGAGAAGAAAACATCCCACTAAAGCCAAGTCGAGGTGGCGTTACTTTCAAAATGAAAATTACAAAATCAGACATAACATGTTAATGTAACAGACAATTAAAATAGACATGTGCAACTATCCCAGTAATACTGAAATAAAATAATAAAATAAAACCACATTGATGCAGAGAAAACACAAGCAGTGCCTTATCTCCTGCTCCGATTCCCACCATTCCCACTATTCCATTGGAAAACCACTGGTAGGGGGAAAAAAACTAAATATAACGGGACTAAATACAAGTTTGAGGATGTAAACCAACTGACGTCTGCGCTCACTAACATTCACAGCTTGAAAAGTGTGTTTATGTAGGTGTGTCCTCATAGACAACTCAAAAAGCGAAAACAAACCATTCTTTTACTGTTTGACTGAACCTGTGTAAACCGGTGTGCTTATTGCAGATGTTTTGAAGCTGTACGCGTCTTACCATAAAGGAGTGGCTTCAAACATCTTGTTGTTCCTGCTTGATGTGCTCTTCCATTCTCAATCTTTTCTTCCTACACACCCTGGTTTTGAACATCTTGGGTGCCTTCAAGCAAAACAAGCATGTTTTTGTGTGTGTGTGTGTGTGTTTGTGTTGATATGAGCTAAAAAGAAGGTTGGAGAATCCATAAAAGAGCACAGAAGTTGAATAGAAACATTCAGAAGATAAAAGAGTTTCTCTTCATCTGGAATTCGTCGAGTATCGGAGCCCTTTCTGGTTGCGTTTTAATAAATGAGGGACTTCCATTTGCTGCAGTTGAACCTGTTTGTGGAAAATCTTGTGTCATGCTTGCATTAGCCTAACTCAAGTGTGTGAAGACGCAATCAATGTCTTGTACAGAGCTGGAGAGTTTCCTGGGTGTGTTTGGTCGATGAAGGAGGAGCGCTGATTAGGTTTACAACCATAAAACTCAAGCAACAAACAAGGTAAAGAAGGTGTAAACAAACTTCGGAGGTCCATGAAGAGTCCTTCAAGAAGAGCCAAAGAAGAATCCAAGTTCCTCGCTTGCTCGGAATTGGATGGAAGATGCAGGAAGTGTAAATAAAATGTAAAAGGAAGAAGGAATCAGGTCAAACCAGCGGAGGGAACACCGTTGCTGCTGGGGGCGTCACGTCGCTCTCTCTTTCACACACACATACACACACACACACACACACACACACACACACACACACTCTGCTTGTTAAGGCAGTGGTGCTCGAGGAGTTTGCTGACTCTCTCTTTCACACACACACACATACATACACACACACACACACACACACACACACACACACACTCTGCTTGTTAAGGCAGTGGTGCTCGAGGAGTTTGCTGTGGGGTTCAGGCTGGGTGATGGCAGTGGAAAAGCTCCAACGCACACAAAACACGAGTCATTTGCTCTTTTATTCGTCTCTGTCCTCTCCTCCTTCCCCAGCGATCTTCATATTCCTCTGCTCTCCTGTCATCCAGCCGCTCATGAGCTCTCCATGTGTTTGATTCGCCCTGGTCTCACTCATTCGAAAGACATTAGATTCGCTGGGACCTGAAATGGAAAAAGAGAAAGTGACAATGAGAAAATCTGAAAGTGATATGTCTGATTTCACAGGATCCTGTACTGATCTCTACTAGGCTATTCTATTCTAGTTGAGATGGTGAATACTCTGGAGAAAGTTTGTAGATAAAAGTTCCATGAGGTCCTATCATTAAATGTCTATCCCAGCAAAAGTCCAAGGGCTTGAAATATATTATAATTAATGATAGAATTAATGATAAGTGTTTGAGTGCGATCAAAATATGCACCAGCTAGCTATTTTATACCAGCAAATGTATAAAATGTATACATTTAATTAAAAATGAAAGATTTATATAAAGATTTCTTTCAAATAAATGCTCTCTCTTCATCAAAATATCCTGGGAAAAAAATGTATCACTGTTTTCACAAAACTATTAAACAGCATAACTGTTTTCAACATTAATAAGAATAATACATGTTTCTTGCAAATCAGCATATTAGAATGATACTGAAAATTCAGTTTAGCATCACATCAATAAATTACATTTGAATAAACATTAAAACAGAAAACAGTTATTTTGTAATATATAATATGTGACCCTGGAGCACAAAACCGGTCTTAAGTCGCTGGGGTATATTTGTAGCAATAGCAAAAATACATTGTATGGGTCAAAATTATTGACTTTTCTTTTATGCCAAAAATCATTAGGATATTAAGTAAAGATCATGTTCCATAAAGATATTTGGTAAATTTCCTACTGTAAATATATTAAAACTTAATTTTTGATTAGTAATATGCATTGCTAAGAACTTCATTTGGACGACTTTAAAGGTGAATTTCTCAACATTTTGATTTTTTTTTTGCACCCTCAGATTCCAGATTTTCAAATAGTTGTATCTCAGTCAAATATTGTCCTATCATAACACACCATACATCAATAGATATCTTATTTATTGTGTATATATTATGTATAAATCTCAATTTCGAAAAATTTACCCGTATGACTGGTTTTGTGGTCCAGGGTCACATTTCACAGAATATTTGTATAATATTTATAATCCTTTCATAATATTTATTTATAATATTTTATGTTATTATTTATGTTGTATTCATTGTATTTGGTGTAAATGTATGTTTAAGTTTAATTTAGTACTTCAAAATGAATTCATTAATGAAATAAATAAATTACACACTCAGGTTTGTTTTTATGGTTTATGGGGACTCTCCATAGGCGTAATGGTTTTTATACTGTACAAACCGTATTTTCTATTGCCCTACACCAACCCTACCCCTAAACCTACCCCTCACAGGAAACTTTCTGCATTTTTACATTTTCAAAAAAACTCATTCTGAATGATTTATAAGCCTTTTGAATTACAGGGACACTGAAAATGTCCTCATAAAGCACCTTCTCGTTGTAATACCTATGTCATACCCATGTTATTATACAAATTTGTGTCCTCATAAACCACATAAACATGCACACACACACACACACACACAAATATCATGAACTTCATGATGAAGTGTCTAGTAAAAATCAAGCACTAGAGGGCAGTGTCATTGCTCAGTTTAATGAAGACCTAAGCACCTGATGATGGAACATGGTTTTGTAGGTCAGTCTGACCCATGTACTTGGAAACAAGAGGTTTCAAAACGCCATTAAGTGAAATGTTTTTCATTTAATAGATCCCACTGCAACAGTCCGTAATTTGCTGCTTCAAAACAGAAGGTTAGAGCAAAATGTTCCCACGTTTATTGAACCCAAAGGATTTCAACACAATAACATCTCCCGAGGAGCAATTAACATCTACAATTTAGCTTAGAAATGCAGCCTTCGCATGGAAACGCTCTCAACATTAAGTGCACACCGAAGGGCACTGAATGGTTTATATGGTGCATTTTCTCTACAAAGAACACTGTGAGATAAAAACATTCTGAGCTGACTAAATAAAAAAACACACACACTCACCTGTTGCCTGTTGCTTTGACAAGCTGCACTCAAGTGTTTGAACCACAGCAGAGCATTCATTCTGTTCCCTGCCTGGAACTTATACGAGTTTCCTGATGGCACACACACACACACAAAGAATAATTGCAGAAAATTGCATATTATCATATACTAATTCTCAGTATCGACTGAACAGATGTTTTGTAACAGGCTTTATTTCAGTGATAGGCAGGGCTGGGAGGGTTACTTTTAAAATATATTCCGTTACAGTTACAAATTACTTCATTAAAAAAGTATTCAGTAACGTAATCCAAGTACCACAATATAAAAGTAATGTAATCTGATTACTTTTGGATTACTTCAAGTTACATATGTTAAGTCAAAAAAGCAATACCTAAGTACTTTTATTCAACTATGACTTTAAAACGAATAAAAACTATAGTAAAAACTATTTGAAACTGTTAAAAGTCGTGTCTTGTTTCACCATCTAGATATTACAGCCCGTATATTTATATAAAAGGCTATGCAGACATCTAATGGCTATACAGTTTAGTAATACAGTTTTATTTGTATTATTATTTTTTTATTTCTTTAACGTACAAGTAAAAATAAATATAGTTTATACACAACATTAAACAATTTACACCATATACATATTAGTCTATTTTAAAATAAGCCTACTTGTCGAAATGTGTGTGAAATGCTATGATCTTTCTTTATTTCATTGACTGATCCATGGTGTTGGGACTCTCATGTTAATTTCTACATTTTCCAGCTCATTTTCCGCTAGAAAACTTACACACAACTGCAGTCATGCACACCATGGAATTTTAAATCACTAACAAACACTCAATTTTAGCTAACATGATGATTTCCATGCTAGTCGTACCTGCAAATGTTCAAGTTGTTTGAGTAGCCTTTGTTAAAGTCTTCATGCATAGCTTACACTGTACAACTGTTATTTCCTTTACCCTCTTTGAAAACTATTATTATCGACAACCTGCCTGTTCTGTCTGAGGGCCGTATATTTACCACAGGTACCGCCTGCTCTGAGCATCGTTATGCACATGCTTGAGGTTTAAAGCATGTGTGCAGCGCATGCATAACAGTCCTGAGCACAAGCTGAACCGGTGGTCAATAAGAATAAAGCGCAGATATGCTGTTCTAAATGGACGTCAGGAACGGGATATTGTTAGACCGCCCACTCCCGTTCAAATTACACCAGTTACCGACCGCTACTGCATTTTATTCGGGAATTTAATGCACGGAATGGAGACCTCTACTATGCAGCGCTAAATATATAGCGCTATGTCAAAATACCAATTTATTTAATTTTAAATGTAACAAATGTAATCCTGATAGTATTCCCATTTTTTACAAAATGTAACTGTAATCTGAATACTTAGTTTTTTGATGTGACTGTAACGGATTACAGTTACTAGATTTTTGTATACTGATTACGTAACGCCGTTACATGTATTCCGTTACTCCCCAACTCTGGTGATAGGTCATGTCGCTTTGATCAAAACTTGTGATTGGTTGCTGTCCGAGTACAAGGCTTGTGATTGGCTGTCTCACCATGCTCAGAGTCAGTCAGCAGGAAGATGTCGGGATGCTCCGGGTCGTCTGCCATCATGGCCATTAAGCCCAAAACAGAAACACTTTTGCTGGCGGTAGACTTGAACTGTGAAAAATACAGTCAAAATATTCAAATGCTTCTAATCTTTCTTAATATAAACATTTTAATTACAAATTATATTAATGGAATTATAATTTGTATAGACATTCATTTAACTTGAAATACTACAACTATTATTATTATTAATAACGAAAATTAGTCAAAACATTAAAACGTGTCTAATAATATTTTTGTATTTTAATAAACATTTACATTTTAATAAACTTTTTAATTACAAATATCAATTTGTATAAAGCGGTTTCATTTTATTATTATTAAAATGCTTCTAATCAAATGATATTAAATAGCATTGTAAATCTTTTTATTATTATTATTATACTGAAAATAAAATAACTGGAAGTTAGGGTCAACATATTAAATGCTTCTAATCAAATTTTTTATTTAATATAATTATTTAATTACTAATTACATCAAATGACATTACAATTTTTAAAGAAATATATTTATATTGAAAAAATATTATTATTACTACTACTACCACTACTTCCTTTTGTTATTATTATTATTTAATTAATTAATTTGAAAAATGAAAATCAATTGAACTGCTATAATATAAATATATTCACATACAGCTTGGCTTCATTCTTGTGCACAATCCTGAACACACGTGTATCACAAGTGTCAGCGTAAGCAAGTAGCTGTGTGTGTATAAACATCTGTTAGTGTATGTGTATTGGATAGTGACATGTGCATCTCATTAACACTGATAATGTGTGACAGCTCATGATGTCATCCATCTCATTATCCAACAGCTGCCTTCATTCAGCACTGAAGCCTGATTAATCAGCCATTCGGCATGCTGTTGTTAGCATCCTTCCTGGCTCCTCTACTCCTCCAGGACAGCATCACATCTCTACAAACGCCACCCAAGGCTTTCTGTCTGATTGAGTCCATTCAGTGTAACTGTTCCTGGCTCACAGGATCCCTGTCTCTCTCAAACTCTCCTGCTGGACGGTCTCCCATCAGTGTCATACTGAAGTGATTATGTGATGACGCATCGGGCTGCAGGACACAGTGACGCTCTCTTCCTCTCCCGTGAAGAGTGTCATCATTTCATCAGCTTCAGATGGACCTCCCGTGGACTGTACAAAGCATACTGTACTCTAAAAATCAGCCAGTTCAAATCTCACAGAGGTGGGAATGAGGGTGCTCGGGTTTTTATTAGTCCAAAGTGGGACTAAGAAAAGATTTATGTTAGAACACCACTTTTTACATTTTACGTTGTCACCATATTTTTAAATAATTAATATTGGTTCTCAGAAGAACCTACGGGTTTTTTTTTTACTGTATTACATAAAATTGACTGTAGAAAAAGAATAGAAAAAGTAGTGCAATCATTTTTTTCGTGAAAGAAAGATAAAAAATAGATGTATTTTTTATTTAGCAGGGACATATTAAATTGATCAAGTGTGACAATAAATACATTTATAAATATTTAAAAATGTTTGTATTTGAAACTAATGCTGTTCATTTGAACGTTCTATTGATCAAAGAATCCTGAAATTAAAAAAAACGTATCACGGTTTCCACAAAAATATTAAGCAGCACAACTGTTTTTAACATTGATGATAATAATAATAATAAATTTTTTGAGTATTTGCGGTCAGAGGAAAGCACAGGCAGCTGAGGGTCACAGAACACACTCTTCTCTGCCAAAAAACACACATTCTAGTGCAAAGGTCCTTTTACATTCACATGCTGAAGCTTGTTTTAGCCCAGGTGTTTAATTATGGGAAACTAGAGTCTCAAAGCAGGTTTATGTCACACTTGAGATTGTCAACGCATTATAAACAATCAATTACAGATTAATCAAAAGCTGTCTTGGAGAAAAGTGATTGTGTTAAGTTAATGATGATGAAGAGAAGCGTTGGAAGAGTCTCTGTTCAGGAGGGTTGGTGGGAAGCGGGAAGGGTTACGTTAGATTCCAGCATGTTCCATGATGACATGCTGTGTTCGTATGTACTCAAGCATGTGGTCATGTATGTGCGTGTATAACTGTCCTTGACGGGGTTTGCAAGTGGGAATGACCTATTACCAATTCACCTGCTTACTGTGAACTGTTTCAAAACAATTTAATGTGGACATTCGATAACCTTTTCACTTTTATTTTGCCTCAGTCACAACTTTTTTGGAATGTGTTTCAGCTGTTAAAAACTAAATTTGTTCATATTTACAAAATACATTTACGTTGGTCAGTGAAAACTTTGTAAATCTTTTATTTGTATATATTTTTTTTCAATTAAATAAAAGTTAAAGAGAATGACCAAATCACAGATTCTTGACTTTATTGCATTTTACAAAACGTCCCAACTTCTCTGGAATTGGGGTTGTATATAAGGCAGATCTTTTTCAGGAAGTTTCTGCTTTATGCTAGAGTGTTTCAATGAATTGTACTAATGAAACAAAGCTAGCAAAGCAGTGAGGTGAGGTGAAAGACATGAGAAACAAGTCATTCAGATTTGTAGCCTGAATGGAAAATCGACTGCGAGGAACAGAACTAAATTCCAGTCAATGCCAAATTGTACTGCTGCTGTTAAGGTGTCAGACAAAACACTGAAAATAAATGGCACTTGCCAATAATATCGTACATAAGTATGATTTTGGCTTATTCCAACTCCGGTCTTGACCTTTTTGACTAACAATAAATAATAGGGCTGTGTATTACCAGCAAAGTCACGATACGATAGGCATCCCGATACAGAGGCCACGATACAGGACTGCACTGAATTTCACCTCAGCAAAATTTAGTAAAACAGCTGTTTATTAAACACTGCATACTATAGAGCCATTTCTAACTATTGGCAGAGCAAGCAGCTGAGCTGACCTCTGCATTATGAAGGGCCTCCTGAACTGTACCACAGTACAATATAGGTAATGGCATATGTTTCATATTTCCATTGGGCACTCCCCACCAGGTACAATATTATGATTGCTTGCATCTTGTTTTTAAGCCCATAAACAATAATGTACTCATTCTAATAAATTTATATTGTAATGTACTCATATTAATATATTTAAAAAATCATCTTAACATTGCTGGTAGGTTATCATTGCACAAATTAACGCACTCTCTACATAAAAAAAAAAAAAGAGAAGCGTTCTAAACTAATGCGCTGTCTTCACTGTATCCAACGCACACACACACTCAGTCACTCACACAGATCACGTTGCGCATGCGCACAGACATCCAGCAACAAGTTTTTTAGCGCTGCCCCACAATTTTATCTTAATCGCTCAAGAGCTACGTTATCTTTCTCAACAAGGAGCTGGTAACATTGTTTCTAAAGAAATTAAACACACAGCTTCACTATTAATAGAGAAACGTGGCAAAACGGTGGTAATTCATACATACACAGCCACTCTCTCTCTCTCATAAATAAACACTTGATGAATCACACTTTTCTGAGAATAGAACACAGTGGAGATCGTTAAACTGCAAGTTTACCGGTGTTTTCAGAAAGCAAGTGCGTTTATCCACAGTGGAGTGAGAGCTCGTGCGCACATGGTTGCCAGGTTGACAAAGATAAGTAGCACGCTTTTCAAATATTTCCGTATTGTGCAAGTGTGAAGCTCTGTTTCGGGGATTACGTCTCTTTATATCAGGCAACCCAGTTGTGTTCCTCTACGGCCAGATTAAACCTTGTTGTAGCCTAGCTATAGCCTATATCATGCCCTATTAATTATTTTTTAGAAACCTCACACTTTTCTACTCCATTTTAAATGGTGTGCTTGTATTCAAATTAAGCGCGGTCCACTGCAGCGCACGTGCCACAATATCGATACAGGCCTAGCTCGTATAGTCAAATAAACAACATCATAATTTTGACATAATTCTGTTGAATTTATGTTAATTAAATTGTAGTAAAACTATTTTCAATAATTAACGTCCTTTTTAAATATCAATCATTCATAATAATTTGCAAAGAAAAAATTCCAACAATCCTTAAAACTGGGACTTTCAAGATGAACATCTTATTTTTTAAATACATTTTTATCTGTTTAAGTAAAACAAAACAAAATAATAAACTAAAATTGATTGTCAGTCTCAGGAATATGAGCTCTCCATATATAGATTTAAAGCACCTTGTTTCACTGACTAGTAAATGAAACCTCATTTAAATAACACCGCATTTAAAATAAATAAATAAATACACATGCATATTTCTGAGCACCAAATTTCACTAACCATTTGTTTTAAAATGTATATCTTTGTAATTTATATATTTTACTTATTCGTGTTAAGTGCCAATTGTTTCCACAAATTTAATATAAACACAAAGAATGACTAAAGGTACTGAAGTAGACAGAATAAACTCAGACACAAAGGAGTGGGTGATGTATACAAATGACCGGAGGATAGGAATCAAACGCACTTGTAGCCGAGGCTGTGGCACTTCCTGTGTCCGTAGGTGATGAGGTTCCGGGGTGAAGGTGGCGTCGGCGGGACTTTAGGCAGGGCACCTTCAGCAACATTACCACGACGACCACATAACGGTGACGCAGATGTGTCTGGACCTGTGTCACAAAAACAGCGAACACACTAATCATTAACAAGAACGTGTGACATTGAAGGTCTTCAGCTTTAGGGAGGGAAAATCTGAACCACTGGAACTTCACTGTGGCCAGAGCAAACCCAGCATGACGCAACATAAATAAAATCCAAACGCCTGACAAAATGCTGTCACATCATGGCTGCATCTGGTTAGGATAACAACTCAGAAGAGATGTATGGCACGACGCCTGGTTAGCGTCAGTGTGTGTGGGCCGCATGCGTTTCTCACCTGTGAGGTCCTCTCTAGAGGCAGTGGTGCGAGGTGTGCTGGTAGCTGGTGGCTCGATCTTTAGGGACAACCTGATACACATACAAACATGAGTCTCAGTTACAAACTAAAATACTTACACTAAAAACATAACATACACTACTGGTCAGAAGTTTGGAATAATAAAGATTTTTTTTTTGTGTGTGAAAGAAGTCTCATACTCCCCAAGGCTGCATTTATTTGATTAAAAATACAGTAAAAACAGTAATATTGTGAAATATTACTACACCTTGTCCTAACTACGAGCGACAAGATTCCAGTGACAAATAGCACAGTTCGCATTGAGTTCGCAGTTTTAACGTAAATGTGTGCTTTCATTTATTTTCGAGATCTGACGTAAACTATCTGTTGTTGCTTTCACTATGGCTATAAATGCCATGCAAAATGATTTTCAAACTAACATTAGACAATTTTGGGATTTAATAAAGCACATAATAAGTACCTGAGATCAGAGGCGGACTTAACCATTAGGCAAAGATAGGCGACCGCCTTGGGCCCCCAAAAGCCAAGGGCCCCCTAAAATGCTTTTCATATGCGAGATGCACGTTCAGTGCGGAGGCACAAGTGGTTGCTGTGGTGTTCATTACCACGGCAGCCATCTGTGCGTCCGCGTTGAACGTGCTTCTTAGCAAAAGTAGGGCGATGTAGAAAATGGGGACGGAATCCCGGAATCTATTCATAAAAACGTAATTTACTGTGTAACGCGGAATGTGACGGAATGAACGGCGCAGACGCGCATTTCGTTTGCTAGTTTGCTATTTAAGCACGCGCAACGCTCGCGGTTGTCTTCTGTAGTAGCTAAATAGTATTTTTGCCATTTGATATTCACATACACTAGTCCATATCGTGGTTTGATTGAAGCGTACTGAATTGCATTTAATTTATTCATTCAATATTTGACGAATTCCGTGACATTGCTCGTTACACAGTAAACGTCTCTTGTGTAGGCCTAGCATTTTTAATGTACAAAAAAATAAAGGGTTTGTTTAATTTTCATTGGAATAAAAGATAGATTAATGTTTTCGCCTTCATTTGATTACCAGAAAAATGAAAATACACAACACAGAATTTCAAAAAAAAAAAAAGTAAAATAAAATTTTAACTTCATAGGGCCCTATTATTGTATACAAATTAATAAATTAAGTTGTTTTTATGAATTCAATTAATTAGATATTTTTTTGATTAAACCATTAAAATGGAATACAGAAAAATAAAAAAAAGAAAGCGCAGAATTTGGGCCCTAAGAATGTAATTTTTGTTAAACTTTTAATAAGCCTAAATTGCTGTTAAATTAAACAAGTTTCATGATTTTAATTAAT